ATTGTAAAATAGAACAGCCTTGCTACTGAGACAAAACACAATATAGAAATAGAATTTACTACTCTACAGAGTGAATTCCAGCCACCTATGCAGCCTCTACAAAACAGTAAAAATAAAAAACCTGGAATTATGAGGGCAAAATCGGGCCATCCCAAAGAGAGAAGAGCTTTCTCTGGAAGACTAATTAGTGATGTTCAGTATACCTGGTGCATTTTGAACTGTTGAATATATGCCCATTTGTCTAACCACTACTGGTCTTGTTATTCCAAGTAAGGATGACGAACAATGAAGATAACCCCTCTCTTGGAGACCTGAAGCTTTAAGTTGCTTTTTTCAGCCAAGCTTGACCCTCTTTCTCTCACACACCAGCTGTCTTTTCTGCATCCTTCATGGCTTAGTCTATCTCCTGTTTTGGGGATATGCTTTCTCCCCAAGTTGAAGTGGATGATTCCAGCTCTGTGCTTGACATGGAAAGCCATATCAGTGTTACTGCACTAACATCACCATAAGTTTCCAGTAAGATCACACACTGAAGAGCTTAGTAAGCTCTTGAACTGGAAAACAGCAAGAAAGAGAGGAACTGGAGCATAAAGAATACTGACTCAGTGGGAGTATGAGGTGACCCACTAGCCCTCTTACTATGATGGTAAATAAAACAACAGCTGTGATGGGAGTCAAAGTCTGAGGTGAAACAGTTTTTTGGCAGAAGTAAGAAAAATCATCTATCTATGTCTGAGCAAAATCTAGGATGCACAAAAGCTGAAGCCATAAGCCAAAAGCCTATGCCACAAACAATAAAGATGTCCTATCTCTCAATAATGACCTTGTGAAAGCATCCTCTATCAAAGCACCAGTGCTTCTCCACAGGGAATGTAGCCCCTCTTGGACTACTGTCCACACTGCTCTTTCCATGTCATTGCAGCCTAGATGGCTGTTCAATGCCACGCCACCTCTATGGCCAAGCATTCAAATCATCTAGTGCTTGCCTACCCCTCAATCCAACTCTGGACCTTTCTTACCATATAAAATGGGTTTTTAAAATGCACCTTTAACTTAATGAAATTTATATGCCACTGAGGAGAAATTCACACCCTCCCCTGAAATGAAAGAAGGAAGAAATATAAAATACTGTCCTTGACATAACCTTTTACATGCACATCTCATCAAGGATGGAATTCATTCAGCAGTGATTCATTGTAAGTTTATTTCTATATAACAAGTGACCAGTGCCTGATCCATGAGTCAATTATAGCCTCCAGAACTGTACATCAGTATGGGATAGTCTGGTGACTCTTTTGTCACTCAGATAGTTTCCAATGGTTCCTTATAAAGGTCCCAATGTCCAACGTCCAATTTGGGTTCTGTGGAGCATCACGAGGTTTGCTATGTAGTTTTCCTGTATTGTACCTCTTTGTTCTGACATGGGGTATTGTTAATTTGTTACACTGGACCCTATCACCAATGTTTTCACCAGAAAAGTAGTGGGTTACAGATCAAGCTATCAGCAAGGTCCACATCTGCAAGGTCCACAACTGCAAGGTGTCCTTTAAGTGTTTTCTCACAGGAGGGACTGTGTACCCCATAGGAGCATACACAGGGTTAACATTCTTGAATTTCTTTCCAGAGACAAATGGTTTGTGTTGAGGAACTGCTGCTGGGAAGGAAGAAAAAAAACCCCACCCTTTTTTATTATTCCAAGGTGCATTTTAATTTGCACAAGCGACATTGTGTCTGTGATGGATTACACGAAGGGAAACATTACAGCCCAGCAAGCTTGGCAAGGGAAAAAATAGGGAGATACGGGGAGGATTAAAAACAACCTATTGCAGTGCAGAATTTTGATAAGGGATCCATGTTGCCTTCAGAGCAGGAGCAGGTGGAGCTCAGGGTACCAAGGAAGAGAAGTGGCACAGTGTAGGATGAGAAAAGGAGAATGGAGTGGGAGTACAAATTGGAAGGAACTTCTTGGTCATGTAGACTACTCTCTTCCGTTACAGAAGATCTTTCATAAAAGATCCAGCTCTATCTTAAAATTTATTCTGCTCCTTTTCCGTTGGAAGTCTATTACAGAATCTCACTTCCCTTTCTGATAGCTAGAAACCTTAGTTTAATTTCCAGGCTAATTTATTCTCAGCCGGTTTATACCCATTTTTTCTTGTACCAACATTTCCTTAAGCTTAAATAGCCATTCTCTCTCTTGAGGGTTTTGCAGTTTGATGTATTGATAGAAATCATATTCCCTCATTCCTCATTTTGCCTGGCTGAACTAGTAAATTTCTTATTATCCTGCAAAACACATGCCCCATATTATTGGTCATCCCAGTACCTTTCTGTGCTCAATTCCCTTTGTACTCATCCCTCTGGGGTGGTGGTGACTGGAATTGTATGTGCTGCTTCAGGAGTGGTCATAACAGGCTTTTGTACTATTGCACAATAATTCCATTTCTCTACTGGAAGCATCTCTATGCTGAAAATGCCTCTTGGCTTTGGACCTTTCATCAGGGCCATGTTGATCATTTGTCCAAGGCCAATGGTGAAGAGAAGATCAGTTCTGAGAAAAGATCCTTTCAGCGTAGTATTTTGACTTTCAGCAGCACCCAGCACCTGTTGCTGTCCCCTGACTCAGTCACCCCTATGATTCCTCCACTAATCACCCCATGCCACCTTATCTAAAGATTTTCTGAGCTCATGATAAACAAGCTCTAGCCAGTTATCTTATCAAAGCCAGCTATCTCCTTGCTTTTTATCCTATCTTCTATTTTGCTCTTGTGCAGGTCCTTTTCCTTTAAATGTACAAAACTACTGTGTAAACTAGAGAGAAATCCCTATTATCAGCTAATGGCATATAGTTTACAGCACAATATTGGGTAATTCTGTCCCCTTTCTGGGGTGAGCAATGGTGATGTGCAGTGGTGTCTTTATCATAATATTATATTTTCTTACACATTCTTGGGGGTTCAGCTGAATAACCAAACTCTTCATACTTCTATTTTTTTTAACTAGCCTCTTCTTGTTTTGACTTAATATAAAAACGATTTTCTTGAGAGATATTAGTCTCTGGAATGAAAGGAGATAGATTTCTAGCACTTAGGGATGAAGGCATTTAACAATAATAAAAATAGAGCTTGATAGGTGGCCTGAGACATGCCCTCCTGCAGCAGGAGAGACTTGAGAAAGCAAGCTGAATTAGGCAGGCTGTTGGTTTACAAAGCATCACATTTCTGTACTGTGAGCCATGGAGAATATTTGAAGTGATCACAAGAAACATTTATCTGTTAGTTTACAGGACATGTCTTCTTATAAAAATCCAGGCATGTTCATAGAAAGGAATAAAAAAATCTCCACCCAGAACATCGTCATTAATAAGCATATAAATAAAAATAGCCAGGCTACCCCAAAATCTAGCCATGCTCCAAATCAGAATAGCACTGAGCACCTGGGAACACCAGCTACTTCACTAAAAGCAGCACAAGCTCCAAATCTTTCCTAATCAGAAGTTGAAAGCTTATTGCCAAAAATCCTGGAGTCTTTTCCTCCAGAAGAAATAGATGAGGCCTGTAGAACCTCTAAGGTCATATAGCCATAGCTGGGCTCTGGTGCACCACATGACTGGTTTCTGTTGAAAACTTCTGGCCATCAGTGCATGCTGCAATGTATACACACAGCTATTTATCTCTCCTGTATCATTTCATAAATGAAATGGTGGTTAGACCCATATGGGAAGGTGTGAGTACTTGAAGCCTAATGCCTTCAAAAATAATGTGATTGTTTTCATAAAGTTTTCATTACTTGCCATGAGTAAACTCAATCAAGTCTCACAAAATCATGCTGTATTCTGATTCCTTGTGCATTTTCAGTAAGAAATGCTCTACTGCATAAATATGTCTGGCCCTGGCTAAAGCTACAAGCACAATGCAATTGTTCCCCTGCCTCCCTCCACATCTGTTCTGGGAAGTCACAGATTCAACTGGTAAGGGAGGAACAGAAACCTGCATCCTTTCCTCCTGACTTGATCAAACTGGTGTGCAAGACATCACAAATGCTTCTTTTTGCTTCCAGAACTACATAACTACTAACAAGAAGGTAATACATACAAAGACAGATTTCAGAAGTGTGTTTTCCATTTTCCCTGTTATCTGTGGCTGTGGTATCCCAGTACTCTCTGTTAATGAAGACTTGAGTCTTAACACTGTTCACAACAGAGTAAAACTCTACTGCTCTGACTATAGACAGGTCAGTGTTACATTTGTGGTTGTCATAAGAAATACCAGAGTCAACTTCCAGAAAATGCTAAGTGAAAAATTTTCATGGTGTATTACTTCTGAAATCCACTTGTCTCTCTGTACCTTGCTGTCCCTCTGGTTGAAGTTCTTGCAAGAGGGAATCTTGCTGTATGCTTGAAGAAACTGTGTTTCTCTCCTCATAGCACTCATAAACTCCACTTCTTCCTCTGGGGGAGTAAAATGGGCTTCTTTAACTAAATTCATTGCAGAAAATTAATAACTATACAGTATTATTTGGAAAATTCAATGTCAGATAATTAGAAAATGGCAGATAAGTATTGGTGCAGGAAGATACTGAATACATTAGAGTCTCAAAGTATGCTTTAGGCAGATCAAGTTCTAAGTCCTGTCCCTTTACATTGTTACTGTCACTGAAAACCAAGAGAACTAAAAGGGGTACTTTTTCTAGGTAAGGATTCTGAAATAGAGCCATTTTCCTCTATCCCAGTGTGTCCCTAATCCTGTCAGCTACTTTCTTTCCTAAGTGATGGTTAGGCAAACAGGCAGTAAGGCCTAATTGGTTTTTCTTTGTTATGCTGGACATACGAGGGCATCGGCTAAAGAGCTCCATGATAACCTCCCTCAGTGAGATTTGTTTGCAAGACAGAATGGATGTGGCAGGTACTATTAGCCTGAGGATCTCTCAGTATGGGAAGGGCCTATTCTCACAGTGATGATATCATAAACATTCAGTCACCAATGGAACTAATAGGAAGTTCTCAACCCCCTTCTTGATGCATAAACACTCACCCAGCTGAGGTGGGAGGGACAAATCTTCTGTCTAGGATTTTGAGCAAAGTATTCTCACTGGAAGGTGACTGTACTGAGAACAGGAAGCCAGGAGAAATGTAATGGCCATTACTTCTGCCACAGTTGCTCTGCAGAGAAAGCCTCAGGTACATCTATCTACCTCACATTAAATCTATGTTTCAAAAATTTATTCCATCTCAAAATGAATGGTACTCAACCAGTGAAACTCTCAGATTTGGTCTTGCTCCCAACCAGCTGAGTCAGTACATTTTGAAGTGGGGAGTGGACAGCAGGTGTCACACAAAAGGGATAGGGAGCCCGGGAAAGCTCCCTGTCGGATCCAAAGGAAGGTGAGATGAGGTGGGAGGCAGTCCAAGCAAGCCCAGCTGTCTCTTATTGCAGTCTTAGGTAATTCTACCAGGGTTCAGATTATGCAACACAACTGTTGGCTTGGTCACAAAGCCTGCATGCTTACTGCCTTGAAACTGTGTCGGTGTTGTGCTAGAAAAATGCAAGCTGCAGGAAGGAAACAGATTTTTAGCAGCCAAATCTTCATAACAACCAAAAAAGAACCCTTTTAAAAGTTCTTTCCATGGCAAATTTCATAAGGCCATAAAACAGTGTACCTGCCAGAGCATCTAATACACATAAGTTTATGAATGTTTGATTCAAGGCAAACTAAGGTCACTCTCTTTTTCCCTAGGATGAGATTGGTGTGAAATAATAAGGATTTCTGGGAAAAACTCTGAACATTAAATCACACACAGGGTTTTCAACAACGAGCAGAGCAAGGTAGTGGATCTGTCATGTCAGTACTCAGTACATTCAGTACATTCAGCCAGGTTCTTGGGAGGAGCCAGCTGGAAGATTAATCTACTATCAAACTAGCTTTCAAAATTATGTTCAAAATATATAGGTAAAGCTTCAAGGATCTTAGTCATAAAGAGATAGTCAGTGACACATGCTGGTGAGGGCCCACTGGTGTGTCAGATGTTAACCCAGTGCACAGGTGTCTGAGTAGAGTGAATCTCACTTGCTCTACAAGTCATAAAACAACTTATGGGCTATTTTCATGTGTAATGGATGACTTTGTCAAGATTCGGTCAAATGTTTTACATTATTGAAAACAACAGTGTCAGGCTACAATTACTAAAAAAGTATCAAGTCACCAAGGCTTTAGACATTATATCAAAAACTTTTAAGTTTTCATGTCCATGGACTACTGTCCTGACAAGATTAGTTTGAAAGACTATTGTCCTGAAAAAATGAGTTCAAAGACCTGCTCTCATTAACTCTTTGGTGATTTCTAGCACCTCCTAGAGAGCTGCATAAGCTCTCTTTTGCTGTACATTTCAGGAAATTTGACATGCTGGAAACACAAGTGCCATTTGTGTATCTTCCCTTCTGATTTTTTGATTAAACTTTCTGCCACTTTCTTCAGTTTTATCAAAATAGGATCACCACTGTCATCTTCATGCTTACACAGGCCATGCACACTAGGATACTCCCAAGTCAGCAATAATTTAATTTACTTTAGTATAGTTTCTACTGTGATGCCAGCCCAGTACTGAACACCTGAATATATCCTGGGGTGCATTAGGAAGAGCATTGCCAGCAGACTGAGGGAGGTAGTCCTCTGCTCAGATCTGGTCAGATCTGGTGAGGCCACATCTGGAGTGCTGTGCTCAGTTCTGGGCTCCTCAGTACGCAAGAGGCATGGAGCAGATCCAGGGAAGGGCAACAAAGATAGTTAAGAGAGAGGAGTATCCCTCTTACAAGGAAAGGCTGAGGCAGCTGGACCTGTTAAAGCCTCAAGAAGAAACAAGTGAAAAGGGGTCTCATCGATGTCTCCAAGTATCTGAGGAGAGGGTGCCAAGAGGATGGAGCCAGGCTCTTCTTAGTGGCACCAGGGAACAGGACAAGAGGAAACAAGCAGAAACTGATGCACAGGAAGTTACACCTGAAAATGTGAAGAAGTATTTCTTTTCTGTGTGGGTAACTATGTACTGGAACAGGTTGCCCAGAGAGATTGTGGAGTCTCCCTCACTGGAGATATTACAGAAATTTTTGGACACAATCCTGTGCCACGTGCTCTAGGATGACCCTGCTAGAGCAGGGAGGTTGGACCAGATGACCCACTGTGGTCCCTTCCAACCTTACCCAGTCTGTGATTCTGTGATTCTTCTCTCTTCAGCAAAGACAGCTTTTTAGAAAACAATAACAACAACCTCTTTCTTCATTAAGCTTTTAATGATAATAAAGTATTGTTATTAAAGACAGCTAAACAGAACACACTTCATCCTGACAAGTCTTGACCTGGAGCCAGCAACTTTCCCTGCACATCAGAAGCATGATGCTCTTTTTGGCTGTTTTCATGTGCACAGTCAATAAAAGATTTAAGAATTACCTTTTATTGCTCTTAAAGGAAAAGGCTTTCACATGGAAAGTGGACCTCTGCACACTTTTTGGGTACACTTAAAGTACACAACATAATATTGTCTTTTGGATCGTAGGAAGATGCTGTAGGATGAAGCCAAATTTCTACCATCTCCAAGTAACTTTTTAATGCATGGATTTCCCAGCCCAGAGTATACTAAGCTCAGAGTATCCTTGGTCTTTAGGGTGATGTGGAGCAGTATTATTGATTACTGAGTTACATAGTGAATGCCAGCAACCATTCTTTGCCTGGCAGGACAGAGGGACTACATATGTATCATGTGGGATAGGAATGACTTGAGTCATGCTTGGTTAGCTCCTCTATTTCTTTATTAAAAGATTCCTGCAAGACTCCTTGGTTAGAAAATAACACTTATGGCTTTAAAGAATGTGCATAAAGACAAAATGAGAATAAAAAGTGGAAATGAGAACAGAGAGGAGTGTCTCAACTCTTTCCCTGAAGAGAAAAAGATAAACTGTCCAATAAACATGAACTGATGTATTTCCTTTGCCATTCTTGTTTTGCTGTACAAGCCTTATGTCAAGAATCTGCACTATAATTAACTCCTGTTTTGTCTTACTGTTTATGCATAGATGGGGATGGTAATACCCACTGCAGAGTGTGCCAGCTATTTTCTTGCTCATGGGTTCTGGCACCAGCCAATTCCTCTGTGTGATTTATCACTTGGTAATCCATCTCCTGCATCCATTATCCTGCACAAAAATCAGCTCTGGACAGCTGCTTTCTCTGCAGCAGAGCAGGCAGAGCTGTCACTTTGCCTACCCTGTTCTCAGCAGGGCAAGAGAATTTTCTCTTTTCAGATTCAGTAAGTCTCATGGCAATTTCGTTGAATGTCTTACAGGTGGAAATAACAGCTCTGTGCACATTAGGCCAGACTGATGACTTGCATAAATATTTCTCTTCAGTGAAGATGGCTCGTCCAACTTAGCAGCTGCCAGCATCTACTAGAGTCATGCAAGTTAGCCCTCCTGAACACAAGCTATTTAAGTCTCAACTAATGAAGCATCCAGAAACTATTTAGCTACAATCAAACAGAACTGTTGAGTCTATGCTGAACTCATAAATGTGATGTACAGCAATTTCAAACACTCTAACTGTAGCCTGGGAAACATTCAGAAATAATTCATGTTGTGGAAAAAAAAATGTATATAAGCAAAAAATACATTATTTTATGCCAGTTCTTTGATGTTTGAAATATCTTCCTAGATTTTTTATATATGCAATTGAAGTGCATATGTATGCAGCATCTGAATAATGCACTAGACTTATGATACATTAGATTACCATTCATTAGCAGCATCAAAGGATTTTATATTAGAAAGGTGTAGCTATATCAATAAATTCAACATACGCCCCCAAAGTAGATATTTGCTAATTAGTACAACTTTAGTTTAAGTTGATTTCATGCATGGAGTCATTGAAGCCAACAAAAGTTTCTTGTATGAGCCTTTTCTAAATTATCAGGATTTTGGTACATATCAGTCCTCCTGCATTTGTATGACAGATAGCTAGAAGTATTCTAGTGTAAATATTAGCAGTGTTGAAACATACACAGAAAAATTGCACAATAAAATATAAATTAAAATTCTTCTGCCGGCAGCTGTGCAGCTCACAAAATATCTCCATTCTGCAAAAAGTTCTGTGTACAGTAAACAAAAGGGAAAAAAGGAAAAAACTCTATATTTTCCTTCAAAGACGCAACAAAAAGCAACATGTCCTCTCAAGAACAAGTCTTTCACCTTTGATACAGCTGTACTGGATCTAGAATTCATCATGTGCTTAGGGAGAAGATTCACAAACCCAAAGAGAGTTCAGGTTTGGGAAAATAATTAATTTCTATTCCTCTCCTTCAGCTCAGTCAACCTCATGGGGGGAGGTGCCAGAAAACATTACTGCCCTCCCTTTCTTCAAATTAAAAAAAAAAAAAGTAGATGAGAAGGGAAAGGGAAAACAAAGATACAGAGTGAAACTGGGGAGGGGAGGAGTAGGGACAGGAGCTGAGAAGCAAGAAGGAAAAAGCATTTGTAAAATTAAAAGGCAGGGGCCCATCAGATTGTGTCGGGCAGGGGAAAGCGTGTCGTAGGCAGGAGTAATTGGTAATCGGAGCAGAAGTGAAGAAGGGGATGATTTATGGGAGCATGGAGACAGGGGTGGAATAATTTTTGGAGCAGAACGGGGAACTTACTGAACGCCTGAAACTCAGCTACTTATCCACTCGTTCCCGTGATAAATTAGCTCTTGTTTAAAGTAACCGGAGCTCCATTTTTCATTCTGATTACTACACTTGATATCTCTCTCTCTCCTTCTGTTTCTCTCTGACCACTGCCCCTTAGCAGGTTCTCTGAGCTGAGGCAATGGGTTTATGGAAACTCTTCACCCCTCCATTACACTGTTTCCCCCCTCTCCCTCACAATTACTGTAGGGTTAACTCTTTAAGTTGTTGTAATGTGTTTCTCCAAGCTGCTTAAACTGGGGTTGACCTGGGAGCATATGGAACATGATCCTCCATTTACGCTGTGGAGGGGAGAAGGTGAGGGGCATGGGGGTGCCCAGTGCTTGCAGGTGTACGGAGTGAGCACAGTGGTATGTCGTATTTCACTGTGAGCCTGCCATCTTTGGAAGGCAGCACCAGGTCTGGCCTTAGTATTCATTAGTAGGAATTGTTTATTTTATAGTACCACTCAAAGCCACCACAACTCCCTCAAGCACAAGGTCTCACTATTCAGTTTACCACTTAAATCCAAGTGAAGACTCAGTTGAAGAACAACATGCCAGACTGAAACAAGTAGCAGAAATAAGGTGGCAGTGACAGACTCGCCAGAAGCAAGAGTAGATGACTTTAAGAAAAAATAATTTTAAAATATGCTTTTAATACAAAATTGTAAGACAAACAAATCCTAATAAATACCAAATTTCTTACTGACATCAGAACCAGTTATTTTGCTAAAAGCATCAAAATACTGAAGTGGATCACAAGAAAAGATTTGAAGGATGAAGTGGTTTTGCCAGTAATTTCAGGGAATACAAAAGAAATAGTATAAAGGACACCAAAGAAGATAGATCAGTGAGGTTTCTGCTATCTTCCCTCATGAGTAAGAAACACAAAGTGCAAATTGCTGAGGATATTGAGGAACAAAGAACAGGAAAAGAAAAGCTAAGAGTTGGGTTGTTATTTCCATTAATCTCAACTAGAAGTATAAAAGGAAGAAGGGGATATTCACTGCAATGAAAAGATGACAATATTTCCAAATACAAATAATTTGTGCAATCTTCACCTCATTTTCTATTAACGCCAGGAGCTTGGCACAATTGAAAAACCTAAGGCAGGTCCAAGGATAGATCTAGACTTGTGTTGGTGTGGAGACCAATATCTGAGCCCCTGCATGACTTCTACATATACAGTCTCAGTAGATGTGACCTTACAGTCCAGATGTTCCTTAACTTTCCACCTGCCTGAAGTCCTTGCATCTTCTCAATTGATTTTGCATCAGCCACAACAAAAGACAGGTTAGCAAAGGAAACCAGGTCTGGCACACCATAGCAGCACATGACCTCACATCTAGGGCAGCAGAGCCATAAAGCCTTGTGGAACAAGTAGGCTGCCTGTCTAACAGCTCACACTCAGGGAAAACTGTATCTCATAGAACAGGACACAGCACTGATTAAACTGCACATTCAGTTCTAGCTCTTGGGAAAGAACCCTGTTCTGATGAGTCTTGGTCTGTCTGATTTGCTGCTGCTCTCTGCCCTGTGACATTTCCCATACTGCCAGGCCAAACATACTCTCCAAGGTACAGATTAGCTAAATCACACTTAGTCAAATTCAAAACTGAGCTAAATCCAGTAAAGCTTAACTCAGATTTTTCTTACATTTTGAGAGCCAGCAGGTAATACAGCCATGTATCACCATATTTTTGCTAGAAAATGCTACTTTTATGGATAGGTATTTTTGGACCTCAACAAAAATATATTCATACCATTGTCTCTCAATACAAGGCTTCTTTGTATGGGCTTTCAATGCTTTAATTTCCAAGTTCAAGCAGAGGCCCTTCTCCATCGCCTCCTTATTCATACCAATACGGATCTGTGTGTTAATGAACAACATGGGAGCACTGAACTCCTGCTATTACCTATGTTAGTGTTAGAGGCATTCTTTGAATAAGAAATTACAGCTTGAGTTATGAGATGTCTGGAAGAAAAGTCTAGGTAAAGCAAAAAAAATAGGGGAAAAGCTTTAAGCCTTGTCGTTACCCAAATCAGCAGGTGGGCATGTTACTTGCAAACAGTGATGAAGCCTCTGCCTTGGAGGAGTTACAGACAGCATATGAGCCCAGACCCACTGAACACATATTTACAAGTTCACAGCCTGATGTGGTTCTCACAAAGCTCACCAGAAAGGTATCTTTGGAAGATAAATGGGACCGCCAGGTATTACACCATTAGTATTTTACCAGTGATGTCAACACAGCTACATTGCACGGGCAGGGACTACAGACCAAGGCCCAGAGTAAAAAGCAGCTGCAATAGAGGCAACAGACAAGGACAAGGCGTGCAATAAAAGGTGAAGATAATGACCGTGAATTTACTTTGAGGTAAGTATACTGCACATCCTCTAACCTTGGAGGATCCCAGGGGGTTTTGGAAGGGAGATGAGGGTGGTTCATAGTTGTTAATACATTTTTATTATATATCTTATTATATTAAGTAGAGGGCAAACTGATCACTATGACCAGACAAGGACAGGGAGATTAGCCGAACTACAGTGATGGGCAGTTTCTTACTTGGAAACCAGACAGCTAATCTACCCACCATGTTTCAGACAGCACTTACTTTATCTGTACATGAGAGCCCAATCCCATCTCTCTTTCTCATACTTTTGATAGCAAGCAGCTAGATTTTCAGAGATTTCAAAAAGCCGAAGTGTATGAAGCAAATGAAGGCTCTGAAAGTTTTGCTTTTGTATGCAGCAATTTCAATGCATATGTATCTAGCAAAGTCTCACCAAGGAAGAGTTACACCCAAGAATACAAACTGATCTGCTTAAATGTACTTAGAATTTCCCATTTTGAGACAAATAATTAGAAATCTGTATTTTCAAAGAGAGAGTCCTCACAGCTGTAAAATAGGAAATTATGCTTATTTAAATAATTTTAAAAATTTAAAGGAACTTTCAGGATTAGCCCAAAACCAAAACTTCAGATTTCATAGGAGAAGCCAAAAATCAGTAAAACAAAATGTCTGCTCCTTAAATATCTGTATAAGGTACTAATCCAAGGGAACAGAAATGGTGGATTGGAAAGAATGGTACTGGCTTTCCCTTACCCTGATCAGTGCTGCTTCACAGGAAGCAGCATATATGTTTTACACAATAGAGGTCACACTGCAGCTTCCACAAGTTTTGGAACACTTCAAGTAGAACAGAATGAAGAAAGTATGTACAATTTTACTCTGGAGAAACCAGGTTGTTACAAACACAAAGGTAGTGATCTTGGACCCCCTACCACAGCTCATAAGAAGACAACTAGAAAAAGAACCTTTTTCTTTTTTTCCAATGCAGAAGTAATGATCATATGCTTTCTTTAAGGAAGGGAATTAGATGGGTCCTAAATGAGCTATATGGTTCAAATCCAACCTGCATGAAATTTGGCGCATCTGTAGTTTAGACTGGTGTCTATAGCAGCTTGCGTTTTGAAAATCAAACATTTTCTCCTAAAGGACTCTTAAGTGGTGAAAACTTACTTAGCGGGTCTTGATAAGTGACCATATGGATGGAATGATTCCTTTGATAGACTGTTTTATTTTGCCTTGTGATTATTTTCTAAATGACCACTGTCATGGTGGTTTATAGCGTGGCTCCTTTCTTCTAGAGCTACCTGAACAACATAATATTAAGATACTTTATGAACAAACCAGAAGCAGCTGAGTGTAAAATGGTGTACTAGTTACCTCTGGCACCTGACTGCTTTTTACTGCCTTGGTTCCAACCTAGTCAACAAACTGCAGGATCAGAACCAGTCAACTGAGTAACTCTCCTTCATGTGCTGGCAAACTCATCCTGTTTAGCCTGGAAGCTCAGATGAGCATGCAAGCAGGCGTTATCTTTGCAGCCATCGCAGTCCTCCACAACCAGCCAGCCTCCAGGGGAACAGCCAGTTCCCTCACTCAGTGGAAGGGAGTAGCT